CCGCTTAGCCACTGGTGCCTTACACAAGAGTAGTGCTGACCATTTGAGAATGCGGTAGGCGTCACAAACGAGAAACCGTTTTGCCATTATGTAAATGATTCACTGTGATTGTCTCAAACACAGACACATATTAGGTTCACAATGCGCAAATCACGCAAGCATGTATCAGCAAATGTCTAACATGGCTGTGAATGGGCTCGAAATATTAAATGCGTTTGTTTCAGGTTTTGCCAATTGATCTTCGTCGGTTTTCCGATTATAACGCCAACCATATTCGAAATGCCGTGAACTTGTGCTGTTCGAGCCTGATGCAAAGAAGAATACTGTCGAAGAAGGTTAGTTATTAATGTTCGTATTCATGTAGTCTCATAACGATGGTAGCTAAGCAAAGTTTTGTTTTTCTGATTTGCCTGAATCTGTGTTCATTGTCGACTAGCTATAGGTAGATACGAAAAAAAGTCCCTCAACCGATGTCGAAGGAAATTTTGTCTTTTTTCTGTAAAACGCCCCTTTAGGTATGTTGAGGTATTATTCAAGGGTAAACGATAATCACTGTTGATGGAAACTGCGAAGCAGATATTCAGAAAACAATCATGAAGAAACGAACTGCCTATGTAGCATGTTGGAGCAAAATCTGTGTGCAGTCAGTGTACCGGTGAAATTCACTGTTCCTCTCAGATTTTCGACCGTTATTCATGTATGCTCCAGACGTCATTGAATGGTGTCATTGGCAAGAATGCCGAACTACTCGTGGATGCTAGAAAAAGCGTGAGTAGAGTGCATCGAACCAAAATTAGTATAAACTGTCCTTCTAATAAAGAAATAAATGAACGACGGGAAGAACGACGGGAAGATTCATAATGTGCCAAACAAATCCTGTAAAACTCGTAAAATGAGATCCATGTGGAAAACCTTCTGGAACCAAAGCAGCTGGCCGGCACTTATTCACTAACAACAAACCAAGCTTGTTACAAGAATGGCCTTACTCTCATGTCTAACAGGACGCAATGACAAACGTTGACATCACGTAAGGGATGTCGCTACCTTTCGTGACTTCCAATAAGTCACGATGTCTGTCACATTATATGTGAATAAATTTGAACGAATACATGATCGGAAACGTTTTGTAGCTTATGATAAAAATGCTGATGCTTTCCTCGTTTACATTATATACGTTAGCGCTCGGAATGATGAATCGTCCATTCTTCATAATCCTCAGCCTACCTCAAACCCATGGCATAAACTCGAACATGCAGCAGACACAATGCCGAAGCTTAGGTATAGGAACTGGCTTTATAATAATTTGATGCTACGGCGGTATTGCTAACTTGAACAAAATCGCAAATCAATTTTACACTCTATACTGGTCTGGACGAATCGCGACTTTTAGCAGTAACGCGTAGAATACCGACGTAGGTTACCTACTGTGTACCGGTTCTCTCGTCGTATCGACAATGTTATGTTGTGCTTCGGGCTTTTTTTGGCAGTGGCCCGTTAACCGCTTGTTGTTGTTTTAATTTAGCTGTCAATTATGGATTTGTTAAATCCGCATATGCAGTCGAAGAGACTCGACAAGGCGCGATACGACGTGGTGATGTACTCTTACGCTGCCGCTACGTCGAAGTTCATTGACTCTCGTGAACAGGACTCAACGTTCCTACGCTACTTGACCGAACAGCTTTCGAACAGTGACCAGTTTCGATGCGTCTACGTTCTCAAAGGTAAACACTTTGTTTCGTTTTGTCTCGCCTCGTTTCAC